AAGAAAACACTGTACCTTACACAAATGATATACGTGAATGTCTCAAATATTTCCGGGAAAGGGTGGGGGGGGGGGGGGAGAGAAAATAATTCATCATGACAATTATCAATTATGTAAATTTTCTTCCAAGGATATTGTCAATCTAGAAACCTATCTGGATGGGTATGACAAACAGACAGGAGTCATTATTATGCATAATGATACATTATATGAATATTGGAACTATCACATATTCACATTTGTGACAAAGACTTTTGAATTAAATGTGAGTATGAAATCACTTGCACATCTCCCCTGGATTAACGAAAGGCGAATACTTCCATCTTTCTAAGGCATATTTTCTATCACTATCTAAGTATCCTTAACACAGCGATGAACAAATAAATGGGCAAATAAGTTTGCTAGAACTAGAAGTCATTTATTTTAATGTATGAATACGTGTAAAGAACGTGTTGTCACGGTATTACCAATTATGTACGACAGAGAATACTCTTATCATAAAGAAACTGAATGCTCATATCTATGGTGGCCCTGAAGGGAAATCGCGAAAAATTGGCGATAAAATTCACGATATCGTCAATTTTATCGCCAATTTTTCGCGATTTAGTCTATTCGCGATGTCCCTTCAGGGCCACCATATATATCACATGTCATTTAAAAGGTTATATATACGGCCTGATAAACATAGTTCTATCACATAACCTTCTTTTGAATATACCCGGTAACCTTTTATGATGGTATATGTTTATTCTTGATTAAAATCATTTAATGGAATCCTAGTACATGACGCACACCTGATCTAAGTTTGACTTGCCTACTGCATAAGGACGTGCGATCTTCCTGTCACAAAGTCATGACAGACGGAAACCTCTCCCCCAAATAAGAGCTGAGCTAAATTCTATATTAAAGGCAAAGGTATACGAGCATTGGTCTACTTTTCGTTTACTTTTTATTTAATTCCGGCAGTTTGCATATATATTTCCATATTCAAAATTATTTATTCATATAATGGTCAGACAGTTTAATTAAAATGAGTTATGATTGTACAGCAAATTTATTTGTATCGATTGTGAGATGGAGGGATTATATCTTTGGCAACATGAACAATGATCGGTAGTACTTTATTGTTTAAAGAAAGCTATTGGGTTGTATAATCGTACCTTAAAATTATATAGCATTCAGTGATTAACAAAAAAGATAGACGAAAGTCCCGCTTTTGATATTGCTTCCATCAACTTAGTGTTAGTCATTCTTTCAATTTATTTTATACCTAAATCCAATTTCCAGTGAAAAAAGGATAATTGTAAATTTTATAATGGATAATTCCAGTGGAAATTTGTTCATCTGTCCATTAATTGTAATAAGATATTTGCTGAGGTTCCCCATCTCAATGATTTTTTTGGTGATTTCATTTCTGCATTTTTCAAGAGAATACAAATTAATATACGCACTAGGTACGTATGTATTATTACAAAAATTTAAATTAACTATGCAATCACATCATAAAATCAATAAATTAAAAAAATATTCCTTTAAAAAAACACATAGCTGACAAGTCATTTCAAAATTTAAAAATACAGGAGACCACCATCTTAAGCCAGAGCTTGAACGTGATAACGGCCTCAAGAAAGAAACCTATATGTGTGACCAAAGTAATTGTATATAAAATCAGAGTAAATCAATTAGGTTATGCGTTCAAAGAACCCAATTTTTTTCAGGCTTTCAACCTCACACGCCGAGCTAGACAAAGAGGATCTTTGAAAATGCTTTATCCAAGGGCATATTAACTCATACAATGCCATTTTTACGGGTAATGTTTGAGAAGATGGAAAGACCAAAGTTTTACACACTATAGATTCACCGAAATTGGGTTCGGGTCATGAGACCTTGCAGACAACGGAAGTTTCCTCAGACTGGAGACACGTGAGACCAAAGGTTCACGAGATAATGAAGACCAAGGCTTGACAAGATCGCTGTTTGAGAAGACATAGGTTTAAGCAAAAACCAGGATTTACCCCTGTGTTAGACGAGACTAGCAATTCATTGAGTACACTTTTGCGTAGTCAATAAATTGCCCGCCCGGTAAATATGTCCCTTATAGTTTTTTCTGCCGCTTTAAAAAAACCTAAAGCTTGACAGAACTCCCCAAATTGATGCTAAAGAGATTTGCTTGTCAGGGATGTTTTAATATGCTTAACACCAGAACATTTCCCCTTATTTTTACCTATCAAAGATCTTGTCAACATTTTCCCTCCTTCAAAATCCGGGATCCTCACCTCGTCTGATGGGGCTTCTCACTAGAATAGAATAAAAACAAAGGCCTATGGTTGACTGGTTAGAAGTTTTACCAAGCACATGTTTCAAAGGGTTAACAAAAAAAAGTTTCGCACAGAAAGTCAGAAACTGAAAGTGCAGAATAGACCAAATAGAATGACTTGGGCATTTGATTTTGATAACTGTCGTCGCATTAAGATAAGGAGGTTCAGATGAAGGTACCTACTAAGTCAAGAAGACATTTTATGTTTTCCTTGTGAAGACTGAAGCTTGTAAACAGCAGGTCATAACCTGACGTATCATATGATAAAGTATTTAAGACCTTGATAAACCATATGTGCGTCAATTGCATTGTATAATCAGATCGACTTGTGAAAAGGTATGAACCGGGATTAAGTTGCGACTGCTTGGGATACGTACCTAATTAGTCTCGTCCGCACTATTAACACAGTATAGTTCGAAGGTGTTTGTTTTCGCAGAAGTAGATGACAACTGCATTGCCATTCCTTCCTAGACAGTTTGTGCGGTAGGGTCCTTGATCGGACAAACGGCTCTTGCGAAGAACTTCTTGACAATTTCAACTTCATTCCTCTCACCCATAGGTTTAATAAGGGGACGCCTGGCTCCCTTACGCAATGGTTGATCATGATATTATTTAGCGTTACAGTCCTACAATCATGGATATTCGAACGAAAGAAAGGTTCCACGACGCATGTACCAGCGACGGTTCCTACACTTATCTAATTTCTAACTTTAATAATGGAGCCAACGTTGTCCTTACCTCCAGCCCTAGCCCAAGACCTAACCTAAAACTAATCGCAATCCTCCCCAAGCCAAAACCTAACCCAAAACCCAAATGCGCCGATAAACCCTATAACTTAAATTAAACCCGAGCAAGTTTGTTTATATAATATATACTATATAGAGAGATATATTCCCTGACATTTGATTTAAAGAACTTTCGAAACTAATTCTTTGCGCACCCTAAAAGTAGGCCGACGTTGCCCCAAGAAGAGGATGCAAATATTCTACCTAGTAATTTCATTACAAACCGCAAGGCAATGGGTAACGCCATTTTCCGCTAAACGACTCAATCGTATTATCTCGGTTTTCACATTTTCATGCATTCGCGCTCAACATGAAGTGAAACATGAAGGGGTGCAGTAGTGTAACGCCTCTGCACACTAGACTAACACATGTGTCTCACACATAAAGGTAGATTATGGTGAATCATACTTGAAAGTTTAAAAGACAACTTTAGTCCTTGTAAAGTAATTATCCCATATTATTCCTTTATCATAACCATGTAAGAAAATGGAAGCATTTGGAAAAGTGTACACAGTGAGATTTTGGAATGTCAAAATTAAGAAGCAATTTACTCAGTCTTGCTGAAATTTGCATGCTCTTCACGTAGAATAGGGTATATTGATGTTTTGCCCTTACTCAACTTTAATGCATCTTTCATCTTTTCATGTCACGAAGTCCTTCATACACTTGGCACTATGTGAATCGCTCGTTTTTTTTTTTTTTTTTTTTTTTTTTTACTACTTTGCCTTGGGATGGTATTTCATCCCAGCCTTTAACAAGTTGGTTATGACTATAAGCTTAAAGTGCAAAATTATTAGTGTTGGTGGACCAGCGGAATGGGGGGGGGGGTGGAAGAAGGCGAGGGGAATACAATGGTGCACATTTACAATTGAGTCCCTGCGAAATTTGTTATATTTATGATATTTTAGATCTTTGGTTTACAACGCCTCTAAAAAGGAAGAGATATAACAAGGATTTTGCTAGCGTGGATTATTATTATTTAAAAAAATCTTAACTTCCGATTAAGATGAAAGGGAATAAAGACATTTGTTTTTGAGGGGAAGGGGAGGGGTCGATTGAATTGTAATCGTCTGGTCTTCCAGTCTGCTTCCGACATATCATGATAGTCGGAATTACTGATAAATAAATAATTGATCGATCGCTCTGATCACACATATCCATAAACATTATAAGACCACTGTTACTTCCTCTCTAATTTGATTGTAACACTCTTGACAACAGGTGAAGTGTGTGTGCGGGAGGCGATGTGCGTGAGTTTGTGCGTGTGTGTTTGTGTGCGCGGGTGCGTGTGTGCGTGTGTTTTTGTGACGAAGTGGGCGAATCTTCTTATAAACATTGTTAAACCCCTCTCCTCAGCTCGTACTTATTCCGCACCTCAACGGCCAATGTTAAAAAATCAGCAAAAGCAATGTTATGCGACATCAGATTCTTGCAGCTATACGACTAATTAGGTCTGGGGGGGGGGGGGGATGTTTCACAAAGATCCTAAGTAGAACTTAACTCTACGTTGGACTTAAAAGTTCTGGAGAGCCATTTGTAGCCTTAAAATAACATATATTCAAAATCGAAAATTCAAGTATTTTAGACTTTTTATAAATTCCACATCAAGACCATGAAGTCTCCTTGATAATACAATATATTTTAATTTGAATCAACATTTTATGCCTTTTAAAATTAACTTTTACAAAATATTATCATAGATGCTAACGGCTTCCAATAATTGTTAAGTCCAACAAAGAGATAAGTTCAACTTAGGATCGTTGTGAAACACCCCCAGGTGTGACCAGATAGGTAATAGGATTCTAATATCTTCCACCTAAGACTATAATTTCACGGTTGCTACTTCAGTTGGTGCCTGATCCCTAGTTATAAATAGCCCAACCCACGTGCGAGTGGTTTACATAGATTAACGCGTGCGACGATCGGTTGTCGGAAGGGGCATATATTTGGCAAGTGGGCGAAAAAAACTCGGCCTGCACCCTGTCTCATAAAGCAGAGGACACAATAAGCTGCAACATCTCCTCGAATATATCTCCCGTCTTAACGCTGGGCGATATTTCTTCCACCAACCGAAAAGTGGGTCTTCGAAAGACTTTATTCTCTAGCAAAGGGCTTATTAAAGTCAGTTCGGCCGACGAAGTGGCTGCCAGCATCCTTTACCAGACCGTTTGTAACTCCGTGTCTTTTAAACGGTGCACTTCTTTTCTCAGATCATAATCTTCGGATATTGTCTAAATCTTATCTGGAGGATTTTGACAACCTTCGCATTACCCCCTAAGGCATTATGAGGACATTTATAGTAGCCATCTTTTTGTTATGTGTCGCCGCCCGGGCCTACGGGCAGAGGATGCCCGGACAGGCCGTTTATCCCCTCCAAGGCTGCCAACCTGGATGGACAAATTTCGGAAAATTCTGTTACAAGTAAGTTGTTGTAGAGTATCCATTTATTTCATTTATATTTGAAAAAATTAAAAAAGAATCAAGATGAATTAAATTAAGAAAATTTGAACAGTGGGTGCATGCTGCGAAGAGGGAAAATTTACTATTAGCGGTAATGTTTAATAGAACGCCCTGAATGAAACCGATTACAATTTTATTTAAAAATGGACACAATAAAACTCTAAAGATCTTTACATCTCTACAATCTCATATCGTTTTAGGTGTGTCGTAAATAGACTGACTAGTTTGAGAAAGTTTGTGAAATTTTAAAACAAGTCACCTTTCGTAGCCTACGTCATTTCTTTCGGAAATCGTCCCATAAATCACATAAGGAAAAAAGGAAACAATTAAGAAACATAAGAAGAAAAAAGGTAGAATTAAAAAACAACCGTTAAGATTAATACCATAAGTTTGTATTGCTATTCTCACTCAGAATAAAGATATTTTCTGCCAGGGCAATCAGTGTCTCTAGTGTGCTTATGATCGTCCTGTTAAAGTTGAACTTTGGCAAGAAAAAGGGGGCCCCAAAATGACGTTCTTATATGGACCTTTGACAAAGACTTTATAAATCCAATTAACCAAATTAAGTGACGCTTCTTCCGGCGATGAGAACGTAGATGCTTACGTAACATATCCAAATTGGTGTACATCGATAGTATGCCAATTTTGGTTCCCCCGGAAAATGGGAAGCCCCCTCCCATCTCCCTGGTTCCCGTGAAACATTTATGTTTATTAAGTAGGTGGTTTATCACAGTTAAACTTGAAGACCGTACACTTTTGGACAGAGGAATACCTAGTAGTAGACACAATTGTTATAGGAAAACTTGTTTAGCACAACGTCGAACCGTCAAAACGTTGTCTTCCTTCATGAATTCAAAACGGTTTCATGAAGTTTGTAGTTAGATTTGAGAAGAGGAAGGTGGAAGAGTAATAAGTAAGAGATGACGAGGATAAGGCAGTAGTTAGTTACATTGTCAGTGTTGTCAAAAATATGTTATTAATTTCCAGAGGATTTTATGTCTTCAAAGGTTAACGCTCGTCACTTCCATGTTTTAATCTATTACCTTATCACCTTAAATGTTAAAAACCTACTTCCAGAGACTTTGTATTTCATTTATCTTCGGTTATGTCTAATGAGCTTCATATATCAATTACAAAAAGTGAAATAAAAAGTTATTTGGATTTTTGTTTGACGTTTTCCCATTTCTTTCGGGGGTTTACAAAGGGATGCAAATTCACAATTTAGCTAACTGACACAGTTGAGTTGATTTCAATGTCTTCTGTGTAGAAACAGCAAAGAGCTAAATATCACTTGAAGTCATACTTTAATTTCCAGTCTCCTTGAGGATGAATGTCGCCCCCGAAATAGAAAATTTGTTTCCGATTGTGGGTTCCTTTGGATGGGAGAAAAACTCTGGTTTCTTCTTGCAAAGCCATGAATCATCAACCGAACATTAATGCCCTTGGCAGACCTTTGGCAATGCAAGTACACGTAGGGTCTATGCGTAATAGAGCAGAGGGAACATTGGTACGTGGTGGGTTTATCATTACCTTGTATTTGATGTCCCCAGACCACCACAAGAGAAGGCAGAATCATCATCTCCTAAAATTAGCCCTCATACCGCCCATGAACCTGAACTGAAGGGGGGCAGGGCCCCCTGGGGAAAAGTGACAAAGGTTCAGATCTACGTGCAGGAAGCACGGTGGGTACGAGGTTACGAGATCACGAGGTTATGGTTAGGGGATGAGGAACCTTACTCATCATTTTCGGATGGAGCTTTTAGATTAATATTAGTAATGGTCGATGGTTTTTAAAACAAAAATGTCTATAGTTTTTGTGGGGGAAATCAATTTATTCTACATTAACAAATATCGGTATATTCTAATTTTTCGCCCCCCCCCCCCCAAAAAAAAACCTAGCTCACTGTGTAAATGGTATCTATGCGATTAAAACGTATATGATGTACTATTTACATCAAGTTTACTACCAGGTTTTGAGGAAATCTGAATTGTCATGAAATGTTAATTTCCCTTCTTAATGTAGTATGGTTTGAACTTTACTAGGGCCTGTTGATTATGCGAAGACCAGACATACTGACATTTAGATGTAGTTGGTAACGTATGGTAGAAATAGTATTCTCTCTCTCTCTCTCTCTCTCTCTCTCTCTATCCTTATGTCAAATTAGAAGCCATACTGACTAAAGGTCAATGAATTGAGATGAAGAATTTAGGTCATGGAAATAATAGTTAGTGACGTATTTTACTCTCAAGCGGCTTCAACAATAAAGTTTTAGACTTCTCAGAAACAAAAACATACCCATACAAGAATACTGAACAACGATATCATGACGAACGTGCTTTGCTTGTGGTCACGTAGAGAAAATGTGGTCACGTGGAGAAAACATCTTTGGTGACCATGACAACCATCTTGGGCGTCACTTCCTTTGTACCTGATCTATCTACATCACACTGTGATTAACATTTCATCAAGACTGTTATTAACCATGATTCATCGATGACCTTTCTGTCATCACTTTTCTTTGAACATTTACAATATGTATATAGTCAACTAATACATCTGTTCACTATTATAAGTTTTTAGATGCGGCATGACTGTTTTAGTGTAAAGGAAGGAAAAGGGGTGTCTGAAATTATCAAAAATTATTTAATACCAAAAAGGGAATGCACTGAAATGTGCTTTAAATATATAAGTAAACAAGAGATGGTCACGGCTATCATAGTTCCATAGTATCATAGAGGCTGTTCACACCGCAATGAGATAGCGCGGTCTATCGTAGCACCCCCTTTTTTCTAGCGCGCTCTAGACCGCGCTATCTCTTGTGGACCACCCCCAAGAGGTGCTCCAGTGGCACGCCGTTTTGGCTCGCCGTGGCTCGCTGTTGGGCGGACCGAAACGACGTTGTACCTTCCAAATTGCAGAGATAGCGCGGTCTAGCGCGCGCTATCTCTGCCGGTGTGAACAGCCTCATAGACATAAAGGGATGGGGATGGAGACAGAAATTCAAGTCGGGTTGGTTGATGAAAAAAATTCCCCATGAATGACATTTTACATTCGGTTACATTTTTAGGTGAGTTTGACGCAATCTATGCAAATGTCAGAGGAAGTTCTGATAATGAAAGATCTCACGCGATAAATACATCAAGGTGAGCAGTATCATCCTGTCCCGCATCTCAGTTTTGCCAACACTGACTTCTCTTGAGGGTATTTGATCTGACAATGACACCGGATGTCATCAATCAAGGCCTCTTTAATTAGCTCCAAGTTTACAGCAAGCACGTTTGAGGAAAAGGAAACAAGCAAAAATAGCTCCACGTTCTCATCTCGCTCTACATCTTTTCTCAAATATTCCTTATCTGTTTTCTGACAGTCTGAAGCAATAATCATTCTGATGGTCAATAACCCCTCCTTAATAGTTGATACGACCTAATCTGTGTGCCCTTTATTGTTTTGATAATTTTCACGAAAACACAGGGAGTGATCAATTGGAAATAAAAACCAATATTCAATGAGACAGAATCATCATTTACCATTAATTTGACATTACATCACAATAGGGGTAATCAGAAACTTTGCTTTACGTTAGTACATTGCTATTGCAGTGCGATCTTGATTGGATTAGTAAAAGTCACTCCATGAAGACAAGGATTCTTCTCATCCACCACACTACGCTCTCTTGATGATTAAGAAGGAATCACTTTGTTTCAATCCCCTCTGCATTTAAAGTTGGCCAGGAGGGATTAGTCCTCCCTGCATGGTCACTGACAGGTGGTTATCTCATCATCTCATCAAATAAGCTCTCAATTAACATAAGAAAGAGGGAATTGTGGGGGACCAATTAGCTATAGGTAGTGCAATGGGACTTAAAACAATTATGAACAAAATATGAATATGCTACGACATCGAACAAGCGATTCAAATATGATTCATGTAATTACGTAATTAGCATAATCCTTAAAATAAGAATAATCGTTGAAATCACTATTGCACTTGGAAGTCATTTCTGATGGTCCTATGTATGTAATTTATTTTTAGCATTTGATATTTTAAGCAGTTGGTAATGCTAAAGATGAATATAAGGATCATACAGATGATGGTGATATTATCAAATACTACAAGACGATAGGACACGATGTTTTAAAATGCCGCATATGATTGTTTTAATACTTTTATAGAATGCTCGAGTCGCATATAAACTTGAATTTTCTCCGGGCCCTGAAAAGTAATGGTACGATCTACGATTCTGTTGCTGTCCTCTGCTGACTTCTGTCTTCCCTTCCTTTGATAAGAAGACTTTTCTCCATCAAAAAAATGATAAACAAGTTCTCTGAACAATTAGAAATTCACGACAGGTGGGTGCATAACAGTATAAGACAGCACACGAGACCGACAACTCATGTGACCGATGACTCACGGGACTGTCTAGACCTTCATCCCATGAGACCGACAATGTTGGTCTGGTGAACCCTCAGAAAATGTTGTATGAAGGCCCACGAGAAACGGCATTGTCGTTCTCTTGGTACCGCACTTATATGGCTGTGGGTCTGTTGGGCTGCAGACAATGGCAATCCCTTAAAGCCCGTCTGTACTAGTTTGGGGATTAGACCTCCCTGCGAGGTCACTGACAGGTGGTTATCTCATCAAATCAGCTCTCAATTAACATACGAAAAGGGCATCATAGCTAGGGGACCAACAGGCACCGATTAGGCATTGTTTGCTATATATATAGAGGGCGCAAATAGCTATAAGTAGTGCAGTGGGGCTTTAACCAGTAAAACCACTCACTTTCCTTTTTATCCTTTCGCCATCTTTAGGTACTTCTACGAACGTCTACCGTTCATGGAGGCCCAGATGCAGTGTCTCAGTTTCCGCGCAAGCCCACTGGCTCCTCGAGGCTACCTGATCACAGCGAAGGACCAGACGCATAACAGATTCCAGCACAATTTCCTCACCTTTACAGGCGGGGCCAACAACAAAGTCTGGATGGGTCTTGCAGAGAGGCAATACAATGTGTAAGAATTGAATTCCATTATTTATGATTGAGGAATATTGAATCCCATATCTATTAAGGGCCGTGCCAAATTACCTCTTGAAAATGCACTAGTCTCAGAGAAACCACTGTAATAACCTTACCGCAAAAAAGAAAAATAATTTGAACTAGGGAAAAATGGAAGCTCTAAAACCAACAATATATATATATATATATATTTGTTTGTAAGGCTTATTCCGGAAGAATTCGTATAGTTGTAGGATTTTTCATTAAATTGACTTAAAATCAAGGGAAAATGCATTCCCGAAAAAAAGATAAACGTTGATGATGGAAATAATAATTCCTAAATAATCAGAATTGTATTCGTACCGCCATTAGAATAATCGTGCAATCACAGAAAAGATAGAACCCAGTGTAACACCAAGGGGTGATCATACGTTGAACTGCTTTCTGACTTTATATTTCAAAAAACGAAGGGGACCTTCCCTTCACGCCTTAGATATCTGACATTTCATCTTCGAACCCCCATCTCTTTTTCTTGGGACAGATTCTGGTGGGCCGATGGCACGCCCTTCCGCCCCCATGACTGGAACCTGTTCAAACCGGATCAACCCCAACAGAATCACCACATCGATGGCGTCTTCACATTCGACAATTATCCATACCAAACATGGGTCACTTCAAGCCACGAGACGCAGATGTCTTTCACATGCCAATATCAGTATCTACCATGAGGAGAAACTCAATTAGAAGACTCTAGATATTTTTGATAAATTCTAGCCCCCGTAACACAAAGATTTGCAATCAATTCCAATATTGAAACAACGATTCCGATTGGTTAATGATCAGCCTTTTGAACACCAAGCGCACGCATCGATGATGTTGATTGGCCATTGTCATTTTGCAATTGATTGCAAACCTTTGAGTTACGGAGCCCTGAAGACTGTTCTCATTTGAATGATATAACGAATAACACATTGCTCTGACTGCTACAGTAGAATATTAAACACACGAAGGTAAACGTGAATGTTTGAGATCCACGACGCACGGGGGAGTGGGATTTTGACTACTCTCTAGAAACCGACTGGTAATAATATTATTGCAGTGTTCGAAATATGTGTTATTTGTGTTACATGTGGCTCTCGTTCATACTTTATAAAGAACCAATGTTAGGTAAAGTTCGTACATATAAAAAGGAGTAATAATTCTACCATTTTAAGGACCTCGTACATAAAACAGTTGTATAATCTAACGTAACTTGATTTTCAACCAACGAGGATTTTTGCTTTTGAGTTTATAAATGAACCCTTTTTTTGGCAGAAGGATCGAATTTCGTATTGTAAACGAAATTTTCTTTATTGTTATTTGAATGCTGCAAATTTTAAACGCCCAAGATGCACGAGTCTGCGCAAATTTAAACGCTTGAAGAAGAAAACGAAGACATCATTATTGCTTTTATCAAAGGGGCGTCGCCGAATTGATGTTATTGTAATTGCTTTAATAAACGGAAATGTAAATAGGATACAATTTATATAAAGCATGGTTCTATGCAAATTTTGACATGAAAAATTGTTATTTGGCAGGTGTTTTAGCTATGAATATTATTTTGGAAATAAAAATATATGCATCATATACTGCATTAACCCTTGTATTAGCAAAGCAAGAAGTTACAGTTCATGCTAGTGCTATTTTTAAACACGACATTCAACCCCAATACATTTCTTGAATAAGGAACAGCTATGAATCAGAATATGCAAACATATTGTTAACTCATTCAGAATGAATGATAGATTAAAAAATACGTTTTGAAATAAAAGATGAGTAACGAGTGCAAAATCAAATTTTTGGATCTATGAAAAAAACATCACACTAATGGTAAGCGATTGAATTTTTAAAAACTATGGAATTAACTAATTCGTTTCTGAGGCTATCCACCCGAAATTCTGGGATCTAAGAGGTGTAAGATACACATCTAGATATGCTAAATTTCAAAAATAGATGAATCAGAAAACTTACTTCATTTATTAAATCTGTGTCTTGTAAAATTTTGCAATAAAAATAAGATTAATAAAAACTCTTTGATTGCTGTAATTTTTGCATTGTATGTTTTATATGATTTATTTAATTAATTAATTTATTTATTATTGTTTTTTTCTTTCTTCATTCATTCGTTAAATATTTACAGAAATGGGGGTGTAACATAAAGAGATAATTGTATATTTTAAATAAGAGTCTGACCTTAGTCTCAGTTCATTCGTTTTCAACACACTTGAAGCTATTACGAACAGTTTGAAAAGAGGAAACCCCTTTTCACGTTAATCTCGAAAAATAGATAGAGTCATCATGTAAAATTTAAGTGGTAGGGCAAAACCATGAAGAGTTACGAAGAAGAGAAAGAGGTGAAAAGAGAGAGAAATACAGGGAAGAGAAAGAGAGAGAGAGAGATAGATAGATAGAGAGAGAGAGAGAGAGAGAGAGAGTGTGTGTGAGAGAGAGAAATAAAGTGGAAGATAAACATGGCGCTTGTAGTTCTGCCAGGGGTTGGGGGAGGGAGAAAAATCGACTAATTCTAATTAAAACTAAAACCATCATTTACAAGGTGACTGGCAGGACAAGACGACGAAAAAAAAAATTCTAATATAGAGAGAAAGAGACAGAAAGACAGAGAGGGACACAGAGAGAGAGAGAGAGACAGCGAGAGAAGGAAAGAGACAAAGAGAGAGAGAGAGGGGGGGGGGGGGGGAGAGAGAAAAAAGAGGGAGGAGAAGAAAAAGCACTGGCATTAGCGGTCATACCAGGGGTTTCTTGGTTCAACATTAGTTTGTATATATTACCTTTTGGGGGCCCATGCAAACTTCCTCTGTAGGATGCACAGGAAGATGTCGAACCTATTTTAAGCTCCATACTTGTCCTGTCAGATAACCGCTTTTTCATACATTTCTGGGGGAGAGGAAGAGGATGAGGGATTGTCATACTTTTAAAATAAATACCAGCAAGGCCCAAAACGTCCCTCCACAATTATTCATATACTGTTAATACCTAAAAGTTAATCAGTTTTCGAGATATGAATAAGGACTAGAGCAAAGAAAATTTAATTGACTTGTATGAAAGGGATGATGGGAAAGAGAGCAGAGGGGAAAACCTTGTTTATACATTCTGCATCTAATCAAATGCTCTCATCTGTATTTTATTCGGGGCAAGTTTTTATCAAACAGAAATTCTTTACTGCGTAAATTGGTATCTAAAATCAAAAATTGTTAAAGACAAACTGTAAAAGAAATTGTTGAACATATTTTGGGAGAAAATATAAAAAACAACAAGTGAATAACGTGATAATCTTAACCAATCGATCTGCCTGCCCCTCCCCAATCAATGTCTCAGGCTAAATCCTTTTTTGTTAATGCCCCCCCCCCCCAACGTATCCTCCACCCATCTGTCTCTTTATCGCGAGCATGTTTTGGGTTCAAATGATTGTCTGTTGGTGCAGATTTACAAGTCCCGTTGTCTTCATCTGTTCGATTGATTGTCTCTCTCTCTAGAACCATCGTCAATGGATGTGCAATTAATGTGTTCAATTTGCTTAACGGAAAACGCATCATTATACGCGGCCATTAAAAGCCACCGGAAGCTGGGGAAACTAGATCGGTGTAGCTGGCCGGGGTAAGATAGCACTTTGGGGTGTTAATTAGAAACTTACTGATCAGTGATCAGCGCTAACATCCGTACTGTTTCGAGTTTGCGTTGCGTCTGTATTTGAATTTGAATTTGAATTTATTGAAGAAAAGCAACGAATATACACGAATTAAATGTGTTGGCTTATATAACATACTTTTACAAACGTATGTTTCCATGTACATGAATCTAAATTTAATACGTTTCTCTCTTTTACAGTACATCATCATATATTTGAATAAAGTTAATATGCTAAATCCGCCCAAACATAAATTATATACCGTGTGAGTCAAAAAAAAGTTTACACCTAGAAAATTACTAATTATTTAAAAAATCATCTATGAACAGTTAATGATTATACATCTAATGAAAGCGTGTTTTATCCCAAATCATTTTGTACCATTTTTGTGTGGTATGTGTTCACGCTTCGATGAACAGGTGGCATTGTTTGCGAGAGTGCAGAAATCGACTTGCGCCAAAGTGATGCCTACAGTATGTATTATGTTGGAATTAGCAGAGTGAGAGAATGAATTGAATGTATCAAATGAAATGCATTGCATATGTTTTTTTGCAAAGGGCAAAGTCACACACACCCACACACACGCGCACAAATGTTCGTTGATATTTTGATATTTGATATGTGTGGCATGATTAATTTTGTTAGGGATGTTATTTGGATCTGCAAAGACCGAATTAATACCCAAATCCCAATAGTTTTATTCAAACATCACATAGGCATCTTTGGCGCAATTCGATTTTTGCACTCTCGCAAACAATGTCTCCTGTTCTTCCAAGCGTAAACACATACCACACAAAAATGGTACCAAGTTATTTGGGATAAAACACTCTTTCATAAGACATATAACAGTTTAATGTTCATCGATGATTTCTTTAAATAATTAACAATTTTCTAGGTGTAAACTTTTTTTTGACTCACACTGTATAGGAGGGATACATCGTAGGACGGACACTGATGACTGATTTGTTTGTAGCCCTCTGTTGTTTGTCGGAAAATGAATAAGATGAGGAGATCGAGGATAAAGGCAAGTGACGACAAAGAGCTGGTATGCTCGATAGGATAACAATTCGCAAGATCATGATGCGAGGTACTGAAAGATAATAGCTTAATAGCAATACTGCACCGAACAAACAATCCATGCCTGTTTTTACAAATTTATATACATCTTACAGCGTCATTTATATAGACGGACATGTAGTGAGAAAATGAGGCATGAAGTAGACATGGCCATTAGCAGGACATTTTCGTGTCTTGTTAACGATTGAAAAATATAATTACTGCCCTCTACGTACTTTTGGATGCAGTTGAAACTTAGAGGCCTCCCAAGAAACAATAGGTTTAATCATTAATCATTAGTTTAAATAGTTATATTGTTTTGAATTTAGGGTTAGGATTAGGGTAAGGGTAGTATACCAGTTGTTATGATGTGCGGTTAATGTACCAAGTAGGGTTATATATAGATGTCGTGTTAATACAACATGTATGGTTACATATACTGTATATATATATATATATATATATATATATATATATATATATAAATGATTATTAAAATATATCTAAGATGTTGGAAAGAAAGGTTGAAGTAAAAACCCAACGGGACGGGAACGTTAAGACCTACATGAATGTATTAGATTTGCCTATTAACAGCAAGTTAACTAAGCTCCACCCCCCCCCCAAAAAAAAAAGAATAAATACATAATTCAGAAAAAAAGTCAATCAAATACAGAGGTGGAAGAGAAAATATCGTGATGAAATAGAAAGTTTAACATTAGTAATGCTGGCAATGTGCAAAATAAATAACTGTTGAAGTTATTTGAAAATGTTGATTATGAATGAATATCCATAATTATCATCGTGTGCATGATAAGGTTTCAAAATCATACAAATAAAATGATAATCGGACTCAATATTGCTTGAAATCGAATACAATGAAAAAGTACTGCACACACATTTGGGTACATGGGACTAACCAAAAAGGTGGTGTCAACGTCTGCGTCAAAGATTAAATTATTTTTGGATTCAAAAACTAATTTATAAAATAAATCAAAGGCGATTCTTTTCATGCAACATAGCTACAGTGATATTCTTCAACAGGACCATAAAAAAGAGTTCGAAAATTCCACACATTATTTTCCACCTTCACAGGAAACACAACCTTCTTTTTAACCAGGGACTTGGGATACACTGTTTTAACCTTCTTATTTTTTTTTTACGGACTTGGTGGGAAAATTCGGTAGACGAAAAGAAATCGAGGGCTCTGTTTCGTTAAACTTGTTAGTAATAGCAAGTTGCGATAATTGTTAAAAGCTATTAAAATAGTGGCAGTTAATTGGCTGAGAGCAGATTAGTCATACAAATTTAGTTATATATATTTAGTTATATATAACAAGTTTAATGAAGCAGGACCCAGATCAAAAGCTAAAGAATATTCCAAGAAAGAAAGAAGGACTCTTGAAATAGAATGATCTTACCAGGGAAAAAAATATGTATCATATAAACAATTCTACATTCAAATGAAACAAAATTAGCTTAAACAAGGCTTTCATTAATTCAGGACAGACAATATGTAAAATAGAATTTCCACAATTCAAAAGATTAACGGTATTATCATGAATTCGCAAAAAAATACCTACATCTGGAAAGAAGTATATACAAATATATGAATAATGTGATTCATCATCGCCAACATTCATCACAAACTATTATATTGTGGTTTCCGTCATGATTCCAAGGGGATATAGATATCTATTCATGTGCCAAACATAATGTTATCATTTTGAAAAAGCAGTAACGTTTCGCAGTTTTTACTTTTCTTGTCTGGGTTTCTTTTAACATGATAATGGTTGTCAAACATATTTGGTGATATATAGTAGTCGGATTAATTTTTTATTTACGATAATCATTTTTTAATTATAAAACAACATGTCTTTTACGTACATTTTGTTATCTGTATCGAATCTGCATGTGAAATGTGAAACCAAAAGACTCAAACTCAAACTCAAACGTACATAATGAGGAGGGACGGGGCACACGATGTATCAAATCTAGGTTATTTGATACACCATGAGAAGGATACATGCCCCTCCTGAACCCCCTGAAGTCCCTTCCCTTGATCCGCCACAAAGATTATCTGGCTTTCTATCCTTAGATACCAGTAAAGTACAGACAATCCGATGATCCAGATTTGCATCCGGTGTATCAAGTTTTCGGACCAAATCCACTTTTCACAAAATCATGTTTCCCTCACAAAAACATCTATTTATCGTTACTCAGCTTTTTTTTGATAATGAATTAATTTTATTTTAAAATTTCCCCCTAAAAGGTAACATATTTGATGTATTGTGAGTATGAATGAATATGAGAGAAGCGTATAATCCTATTGGTAATTGACCTGCAATAGTTAAACGAATCATCTCCCTAAAAGAAGAAGAAAACAACTTATTATATGACTTATTAATCTTTAATACTTTCGAAAAATGAAAGGAGCTTGTTTTATATTCTTGTGTCAGCCAGTAAGCTTCGTTTTTTTTTGGTTTGGGTCGTTTTCTTTGACTGCTTTTGTTTCTGTTATTCTTATGTTTATCTGTGTGTTGTTTTTTGCACAACATTATTTAAAGATCACTGAAGCCTTACACTGGGCTGAATTAAATATTAAAAAGGGAGAAAAGATGACCGAAAACTTGTGTAAGATGACAGGAGAGGCATATACACTCTAAGAGAAAGATTCTTACATGTAAGAGAGATATAGATAGAAAAAGGAAAGAAAGGGAGAAAAACAGAACAGAAGTTAGAGGAAGTGAGAGTCGTACCTCGAGAACGTGGGTGAGGTAGAGTGGCCTTTCAAAGTTATGCCAAATGTGTTAAATATAGATCCGGGGGCCACAAAAAGTTAACAAACCTTTCAGTGAATGTCATAGTACCCCAACCAGAAAGTGAGGGGGGAAAGAGGACTAAAAATGAACTCCATTTTCCCCTCTCTCTCTCCGTCTCCAAACTTTAGCCAAACTTCTTTCTTGAGAGAGTTGACATATTTTCCATATTTCTCCTCATTCGACACAACATCGCGAGCGATGATTGGTGAATTCCCCTCCTGAAAACACGCCTTCCGTTAGTCAATTAACTCACTCTTCGCTCCTCCCGTTTTGACTAAACTAGTCTCTTTTCTCAGACCATTGATCCATAAAAGTCCGAATTCCTGAACGCTAAGAACAGTATGCAATATCGACACATGAACGGTTTGAACTAAGTGGTCCAAAGGAATGGCCATTTACAATGGGAAAAGCTATGAACTAGGTTTTTTACGTAGTTTTGCTAAAATCTATTTATTATGTTTTCAAATTCTGTCTGAAATATGTCGACTATATAGCGCGTATTTTAAGCATTAGGGTATTTTGACTTTCGGCATTTTACAGATAAATCTTCTTGCAGTTCTTTTGTGCCCTGAATTTTCAATCATTGATATCATTGTTAATTCATATTGAGATCATTGTTTATGTAACTATTAACAATACTAATATAATTATTCTTAATTCTTACTTATAACCGATATTACCAATGACTTTTATAAAACGTTTTTAGTAATATTTCTTTTACTTCATACTTCCTTACATCTAAAAATGTTAGTTGATACAATGTCATACAGGCTTACCAGTATTGTGTGTAATTGTTGCTAGAAAACGATGGAGGGGCCTAAAAAGTTGTGTTCCACAAAAGCAATCAACTTTTAAAATATAGATATGAAATTGTATTTTTCGTGTAAAGCCATAGTGCTTTACCTCCTCACTTGCCAAGAATACTGATATTTTTATCACAATAATGTATCTGGGTTTGATTTGTTTGTAAACAAATTAGGTCGGACGTTACAGCGAGCACACTTTCTTCATATCAAACTCAGAAGATGCGAAAGGAGACTGCGAATCGAGACTACATACTGTGCAAGTTCAACCCTCACGCAGGCCTATGACGCACCTGTTAGATCGTACCCCTCCCTGTCCCCCTCTCGACTGCTGGGCCAAAACGAGACCAGCGAAAGAAACCTCACTTCGCCCTGGATCACTACAGAGGAGAGGACTTCCATCTTTCGTTACATCTCCAGTAAGGAACATCCATAGGAACCCACGTACTGTCGGAGGCAACAGCACATCAAGTGCATATTGCAGGATCTTTGTGGCCCATATCCCAAAGCGGATTGGACAGTGTTATTGAAAAATGGGTACGACGTGTTTAACGATTTTACTGGGGTGCCTGGTCTATGCCCAGGCGCAATTCCCCCGGGTTCCGCAGCAACCTAACCAACCCAATAACCCAGGAGGTTTCCCAAATCGGCCAAACAACCCAGGAGGTTTCCCAAATCAGCCAAACAACCCAGGATTCCCGAATCAGCCGAACAACCCAGGAGGTGGAGGATGGCCCAACAATCCTGGAGGAGGGCAGCCAGGTGCAGGTGGTCCTGGATTCGGTGCAGGTGGTCCTGGATTCGGTGCAGGTGGAAACCCTCAACAGCCCGGAGCCCCCTTGGCTGGCTGTCTACCAGGGTGGACTAACTTCGGAAACTTTTGCTACAAGTAAGTTTAAACAAAAAACGAAAAAGATCTTTAGAATTGTTAAGATCCATTCATTAGAATGCGAGATGTTCAGTTTCATAACAATGAAAGTACCCTTTGATGGGTTGAAAGTAAGTTCCTCCTGGCAAATGCGATTGAAGACATTTCAAAGAAGAACCTGTAAACGGGGCAAACTTCTGAAAGCGATATACAGAGATATGCTCCTCAGCACCTAATGATTTGGATACAAATACATTCGCAAATAAATGGTCTTATCTTTAAACAACCGGTGATCAGGATGGGTAGCGTATTGTAAGACAGCTCCGAAAATTTAACGTTAACATATTTTGTTAACATTTTTGAGTATACATCTTGGTGACAAGTCAAAAAAGAAAAAGAGGAAAAACAAGAGTGACCTGCTTCTACCTGTCGCCTTCGGTCGAAGCCACAAGCGCAACAGGTGTATCTGGTCTTGAAGTTTAAGGGGATTGACAAAGACTAACCGCAAGAAGATCCACTCATAGGCCTAATTTTAACAATTCCATGACCCCTGGAACTCGGTCAGGGTTGAACAAAATTCTTAGGACATGAACAAGAAGTCGGGAACTTGTTGGTAGTTTGAGTAATGATTAATGCTTGAGTTGCATTTCGCTTCAATGACTAAGGATTCAAAGGCCATACATGTTCATGGCCCTCTCGATCAGGAATGAGTTCCAGAGACAAATGAAATTAAGGCTCTTGATTAGTTCTTGACCTACTCGATGGATAGACCGAAAGATACTTCCTGGGACAAACGAAATTTTTGGCCTAGTTTGTAGTTTTTTCAGTGAGATATGCCTGATGTGCAATTTATTTCAATGAATTTTACAATTATGCTTTCCTATCTTTTTTTTAGAGAATCTGAAGGTTCAATGAGAATATAAAGGACAACTTGAATAATGGTAGAAAGTGCTTTGGACAGGCACTGATCTTAAACCGAACTTTAAACTGATCATTTACTCCTTCAATTGATATTGAGCTAGGAAATATATTACCTTTGGGGAAATTAATGAAGTATGCAGAATTTGTGCTAATTTTGGGTGTTGTCAGCTTACAGCAGTTTCAGATAAGCTCTTTGGATCTCTACGGCATCACATCAGCTTTCAATTTTGAAGTGTAGTTAATGTATGTCTGTCAAAGAGATTTTCCGATTTAAAGCATGCTGGATTAATTACGATCGCCTATATTTGAACTGAATTGACACGAAACTATGTTATATATAATCTAAATGATGACTAAACAAGCGTACGAGGTAATAGCGGCAAAACAAAGCAGAGAAGATTTTTTTTTAAATAAGGGAAAACACCTTTTCACGACTCGACGACAAACAAGGGGAGTTTCCCCGCATCAGTTCTCTCTGTTTCCTCGTTCGTCTCAACACTTGGGGTCGACGAAAAAACAAATCACATATTCCTTAACAAAAAGAGGACATTGGCATTTTCCGGTTGAATTATCACCATGAGAATATATTCACACATTTGTGAAGGATTTGTTAAACCTACATCCTGTTAAAGAGTCTTGCGCGAAGTCGTCAGGTAACATTTTCTTCAGTCACCAAAATCGTGAATATTTGGTGAGGATTCTTTCTAGAAGCAGGACTATTTCAAAGTTAAGGTAATGGGTTTCAAATAATATTAAATTAACCTAACATTAGGTAAAGAGGGCACATGTAATTTCGTTTGGTGAAATAATCCTCAATTTAGCGTTTATTCAACCCGATTCCGGGATGTTTATTTTACACTTATTTCTTTTACAATATTGTGTAGAAACTTATTTAGCGCAGATGTATGTTCCTTTTGATCATAATGGGTTAACATTTTACCCGACAGTTTTAATTTGGAGTGTAAGGGTAATACATGTTGCATGTAGCGCATTTTTATAAAAAAAAATTATCATAAAAAATGAGATAGCTAACTGATGAAAGGAAAAGGGTTACCAAAGAAGGAGACAGATTTGGTTAAATGAAAAGGAGAACTTTAAAATAGTTATGGTGTAAGCACAAAATGCATACGTCTGGCGGTTAGACTATCCTATGGCAAATCATTGTTCGGAAGGAAAGCATCACTAAGGAAGGTGTCGTTGTCTGTCTTTTTGATTAGTAATTAGTCATTAATTAAGGAAGTATATGTGCCAAATAGAGGGGCAGACAAACGGACTAGGCTAGCTCTGATGGACAGTTCCTGTAAGAATATTACTGATAAAGAGATATGTAAAGAGAGAGTGCAGTAGAGAGGAGGAGAGAGAAAAGGGGCACAGAGAGAAAGAGAGAGAGAGAGAGAGAATGAGATAGATAAGAGCCAAGGAGATATGAACATGAATTGATATCAGAGTATCTTATTCATATAACTTGTTTTTAGTTAAGTGACCAAGGCTGTAGTACGGCTATAAACTTTATCAGTTTTTAGCCATACCTTTGATGTTCTCGGTAATTTGCTTCAACTTGTTTGAACAAAAGAGAAGGGGGCAGTGGAGACCTCAGAATATCTGTCCATTTTCCGGACGCATTGAAATATAGGGAATGTGTATGTAAACAACCTTTCTACTTAGTATATACATACATACTTTTAACCATGACAAAACGTTCTCTTTAGTGCCTTTGTCATGTCATTACGCACGCACACCCACATCCATACACGCACCAAACAATTTTCATTTTTCGGACGCAGTGAAAAATGAGGAATTTGTATGTATAAAACCTTTTTACTTTGCTTACATATTTTCCTACCATTGTCTTTTGCCATTCTAATTTAGAACCGAAAAACGATCCTCACATCCAGATGTCTATGCGGTATCATGACCGCACCTGACTAACTTCCAAATAGCCCTAGGACCACTAATCCCAATTAATCCCAATTGACATGAGCCGGCTCACAGTTTTATCCACCGATCATACACCTGTTCTAAACCGGACTCTTATCCAATTTATCATAATACCTGTGAAACTGGTTTTACATACGAACATTACTTTAAACCGTGACAATACATTTCTCTTCAATGCGTTTGTCAGGTTTTTGTTTTGTTTAATTAAATAAATGCGTTACTACACTCACTACGCACGCACGCACGCACATACCCACACCCTTACACGCACCAAAGTATTGCGTTCGTTTAGTATTTTCCCCATTTCCTAAAATATTATTTATTTCATATGCTTCAAGAAACATTATTTTTGCATTCAAATTTAATTTTTTTTTTCTTCGTTTTTTTTATTTTAATAAAAGACTTGTAGAAAACAATTTTAACTAGACTTTAACATCCAATGATATCAGGGAAGGTCTATTGTCGCGATTTATAATAGGAATTTGCTTAAATTGACATCTATTTTTGTTAGGTTGCAGTCCACCCGTAACTAGTTTCACATATATATCATATTTAAACACTACCATAGAGTCGCAAAAGTACAAATATAAGGTTTACAAATAACAAAAAAAGTTCCTGTGAGGTCAAAAATAAATTAGAGGCGTAATTGCCGTAACCCATCAAAATTTAGATAAAAAGCATAATAAAACAGAACTAAAAACAGATGTTTGGAGAAAGAAAAGTTATGCTACTCTCTGGAAATGACCTGATTTAATTTCCACCAAGTTAGCGAAACTCTGCTGACAATGTGTCATTACCAAGTATTAATCATCCACAGGATTTGCGACCGCGATTTTATTTTCTTTCTTCTAGTTCTAGGGGACCGGTTACCCCTCTGGCCCCCATGAACCCAGGGGAAGTAGAGGTGGCACGTGAGCTTGAATCGCTGCTGTCAAGCGTGTCAGGGGCATTGTCGTGGAAGAGGGAGAAACCCTTCATTTTTAGAACTCTTCCGGCAAAACTATCATCATAATCAATACATAATAAATAATAAATAATATGGATACTTATATAGCGCCGGTATCCACCAGGCTCTGACGCTCATGGCGCTTTACACATATTAGTCACAATTATGTATGACCGTTGTTTATCATTGACATTGTAAGAAAGGTAAAGAATGTGGGCCCTTTTTCTGCGGCTAGGCTATTTAATCCCCTCCCCTTCACCTTAGAGTGACCTTGCTGGCTTCTTAAGGCATTCACATTTAGCAATCGACCTTTAAATTCAAAATGGCAAATATCCGGTAAAGTTAGTTTATAAATGGTATCATCACAACCGACGTCAGCAAAGTCAAACAGGCGCCAAGTTTGGGGCCCAGAATGAAACACACCTAGATGTTCAATACCTCGACAACATCAATATGGCCGATGCGACTTGAAGATCTGTCAAAAGGAAAATAGAAGTACCTAAGATCTGGTAATTAGCATGTCCATCAAACATAGAGGCCCGAATTCACGAATGAGGTTTGTCGACAAACCTTGGTTTATGTGCGTCATATTAAACGCGTTTCAAACCTACGTTACTTTGTACAAACCTTGGTTTGAAACGCGTCGAAACGCGTCATATGACACACATAAACCTAGGTTTGTCGACAAAGCTCCTTTGTGAATTCGGGCCATTATATGCAACAAATATTCATGTTTATTTAGAAAGTAGTGAATCTTGTCTTCGTCTGTTTGTTCTCACGCAACGACCTTCGTGCAAGTATTTCAACGAATCCCTGTTGAAGCATTTTCCCAGCTCACCCCTTTTAGACTTGTCATTGTTGTTGACATGTGGTGGTTATAATGTCAGGCCCCTTTCCAGAGGCCTAGGCTTTCGGTAGTCCCCCGTTTAGAGCTAAGCAGATTATTCGCGTGCCTTGTTCTATATACGACCTTCCAGAAATCCACATGACACATTTTTAGATCAATTTAGGGGTGATCTGATTCAGATAATGCCAAGTTAGAAGACCTGGGGCTGGGGAGAGATTTTATGCAAACTAATATTATATGTATTTTATGGAGGTGTCGTGGTCTAGCGGATATGTCACCTGACTATGGATCACATGGTTCGCGGTTCGAGTCTCGCCGCGACACTAATGTCCTTTGGCCAGATGGCAAGACATTGATTCATTAACCTACATTTGCAACTCTCCACCCAGGTGACGTAAATGGTACCTGGTAGAAAGAAATCCCTTGAATTCTTTAGCGCCTTATTATGTTACCTATGATACCTTGTATAAGGCGCAGTAGATTATATTGTTTCGATTTGATTTGATTTGATATTCATATAGTAGCTGCGCTATATACATTTACCTATTATTGTCATCATTATATGCAAATAAATCTACGATTACACGGGACAGTCGTAGTTTCAAACAAAGAGTTCACGAAACTTAAAATGTTAAACAACTAAATACGACAATCTTTCTTTAAAGAGATATTATTTTGGACGACGTTTATTCACCGAATTAGCAATATTTGTACCGCTTTAAATAATATCATATATAATGTTGAGTAGAGATGATATATTAAATATCAGTGGGGAATTTTTGGAAACTAAACTGTCAAGATAAGCGAAGGGTTGCAAACAGCAAGACTTTGCCACTTAATTGTTTTAACGATTCCATACCCTTACAAAACACAGTGAGTCCCATATATTTCATAATTATACAATTCCTCGATAACAATTAGACAAGGTTTTTTATAACAAGTTACAATAATTGTTGATTGGATGTGAGCAGAATTGTTACGGATCTGTGGTAGTTGTTATTGCTAACACGTTTTATGAAACCGGGCCCTGAACTCATGCTCGACTAAGCAATGAAAATGTGGAAAAACTAGTTTCAAGCCTATCCACATACAACGGGCTAAATATAGGTCCTACTCTTAATTGAAATAATTCTTCAAAAATTGGGAAAATACCACAAAACATGGATATGCCAACACAGTCCAAGCAGACATTGTTTAAGCACGAACAACTACATAGACACAGGATGACGTCTCAAATCCTGTTCATGAAGTTTGGAATTAAGTGGAATAAATGAATTAGGATAATAAAGCTTGCAGACAATGCAGGATTATAGAACACATATTCATGACAGCTTTGTGTCTCGTGTTAATCAATACTTATTGGAGACAAGTGTTCATACTTATGTTATAAATAGAAAATTAATTGGCCAAGTCTAGCAGAGAAAGAGTAATCCCTGGTAAGGTTGCACGAATGCATTTGAGGGTAATATGACAATGGATTTTGATTTTTGTGTAAAAGGGTATTGGTCTTAGTTATGACTCACTTACGATAATATGTCGCCAGGCTATTACTTTCCTTAATTTATTAATGTTCCTGAGATAATCGTAGACAAATTAAAAGAACTGGATCTATTTTACAAGTTATTTTACAATAATAAGTAAACATTTATACCCGAAAACAAAGCACCAATTGAAGTCAAACAGAGATATCAATTTAAACAAATTTATAATTATGATAACAAAACTAACAAATTATGATATAAATGTTCACATGCTTGATACAAGATATGAGGGGAATATTAAACTGCCCATCGAAACTTTCCTATTTGTCCAGTCTGATCTGAATATCGTGACAATAATATAATAAGGTCCCTAAAAATCGTTTTATCTTTTAGAATTATGTTTCTATTTCCAATTCATACTTTCCAGTTGTTTTGGCTTCTTAATTTCTCACGGTAATTCCTGCCATCTTCTTGATCATGCTCACATTGTCCGATTGTGAACCGTTGCCTATTTCTAGATTTCAGATTGATTCAAATATAAAATAAATGTATTGCTTATAAATTCCTATCCTAACAAACAACAATTCATTAGTACGAAAGGAAACATGAATTTGATGGTAACTACAAGTAGGCGTGCAAATGTTTTATCAGAGCCTATTACAATAAACAACTGGTTATAAGGTTTACATTTAGATTACTATTTCAGTCGTATCAAATAAAAGTGTTATGGATCGTTTTATTTTATACTTTTTTTCAGTTATATAAAATGTACGACTTGTTCAGAGTCTGTTTTTGAAAGAATGAGACGATTTACCGGGATGCTGATAAGTGAATCACCATGCTAATACTAGTCTCAAGAGGGCACTGTTTACCCTAGTAATGAGTCAAACAGCGAGTATGGGAAAAGAGAATTGGTGAGAGTGAATAAGAAAGAGGAAGGAAGTGAAAAGTTAAGGAGTGGAATGAAGTGTAAGAGATAATGTGAAGGGAGAAAAAAGAGAAAATGATGATGAAAAGAGAGGAAAACGAGGAAGAAGAGGAAGAAGAGGAAGAAGAAGAAGAAAGAGACGCAGAGGAGGAAGAAGAATGTGAAGGAATAGAAGACAAACAACAAGAAACGGGCGATTGTCAGAGTATGGCTTCTCGATGTACGAGCTACATCATCAAAAAAAGATTTTTCAAAGCGGCATGTGACCGGCTCTAAATGAAATGACAGTATTTTTTATGTTTTATTTTGTTCACAAAATTGTTATGGTCTGAATCTTACTCGATTTAAGCTGTGTTATATTTGGAAAGTGACTTCAGTCAGACAAAATCTACAACTTTGAAGAAAAAAAATCCGTAGATGGCGCCACGCCACTTCCTACTTTATGTGACTTTCATTCCCCCGAGACGTTTATCGACAACCTCATTTGGGTTAAACCAGGATTGGATTGTGGTCTTTAGTTTTCAACGTGAAAAGAGGAACGAGTAAACAAAATAAAAGTGGGATGTCTTAATTCAATCCATCACTTTCTGTCTTCTAATCATAGTCAAACCTGTCTTAGTGACAACCTTTCTATATAGGCCACCTGTCTAAAGTGGCTACGCATCTTGTCTCCCTTGAAAAAGAAATGAGTGTTTTAGAACCTGTGTAGAAAGGCCAACTGTCTACAGCGGCCACTTTTTCTATTCCCCTTGGGTGGCCGTTATAGACAGGTTCAACTGTACATTTGCCCTTTCTTTCTTTGTTGCTTGTTTCGCTGTTGTAAAGGATTATGTTTTCCGTGTGATCATTCGTAATTATCTGCTAGAGGTTACACAGTTGATTTTACATCTAATTGATGCCCTTGCTGCCGCACAGGAAACGAACGCATACAAAAACTGATTGGTAGTGCTGATTATGAACTCTGCCTTGTTTCTGCATTGGAACATGATTCATATTAGTCTAATTATTTTGTTATACTTGTTTGTTTATTTCTTTCGGGGGAAGAGTTGTTTTTGTTTTACTTTATATTTAAATCTACAATGTAATAGGCAACAATCAGACATGGTTTTTTGTAGGACATCTCTGTTAATAAATGTTCATAAACTAGAAATTTCAATTGCGCCATCTACGCCAAGGAACACAAGGAATAATTTCTCTAAATGAATTGTATGACATTTCAAGATAATGTTTTTTTAATATATCAAAATTGAAGACTTCTATGAATCAATGATATAAACTAATATAGGTACCTTGAAAATAGTTGAGTTGTCTATTAAAAAGTACCTCATGAAGTTAATATATCATATCAATGATTTCAATATATTTATTAAAAGTTCTATACTATTCTGTAATCAAAATAGAAACATTTCTGGAAATATGATTTCCGTAACGCTTGGAATTGGCCTGGAATGAATTATCTCACTTTTTATTTCATAACTGAAAATACGATAGAATGAAAGTCTTCTGACGATTCCTTAATATCCAAAATCATCAAAATGGAAATATTGTCATCTTCATTATCATGTTTTTTTGTATTTCTCCCTTGTGCAGGTACATCTGGCAGAGGCTACCTTACGATGAAGCCAACATGTTCTGCGCCCGTTTCTCCGCACAGGCCGTCCCCGGCCAACGCCCCGGCTTCGGCATGCCTCCTCGCGGTCATCTCATCGTCACAAAGGATATGATGCATAACAAATTCCAACACAACTGGCTGAGATACACCGGTGGTGGCGCCAACAAAATCTGGATGGGTCTCGCCGAGCTGCCGTCCGCCCCCGAAAGCAACCGGTATGTTGAGAATGCATTTAGTTTTTTGTTAGGGGAGGGGGGGGGGGGGGAGTGGTAACGATTCAACATCACAACGGCACTAATATCCTTTTGCAAGATATTAACCTGCACTTGCTACTCTCCACCCAGGTGTCAAATGGGTACCCGGTAGGATGCGGCCGTCATTATTGGTCAAACAGTTTATGAGTGTCAGGTAACGCCTGGCTATAATGCTCCACAGGGAGTGGAGATTGTGCACACAGTGTGTGCGGGCAAGCACTGAATCCAATGACCGGGGTAATAGTATATTTGTAAAGCGCTTAGGTACATTTGCATTAAGCGCTATATAACAATTAAATATTATTATTATTAACATCAACAAATTAAACAAATCAAAACCGGCATTTTCAATTTCCCCTTTTGTCACCTTTTGTGTGACCATAACAATGACTTTTTACAACATCTAAACATGATTCCTGGCAACGCAATGAATAACAGTTGGGTGCCAAAACTTCCTTTAAATAGACTCGTGTTAGTCTTTACGACTTAGATAATTAATAATTTCATCAAAAGGCTTATGAAACCTACTTGATATTTGGTGCAAATGTCTTCATGAATACAAAAAAGAGAGCAAAATCCTTCATTGACAGTGGGGGAGAGGCGATAAGGTACCCAATTTAATAACGAAATCCAGCATACATTCTGTATAAATTGTAAGTCCCAAAACACATGTGATAATCTCTTGTAGGGAATTTAGGAACTTAGGCCCGTCCCTCCCCCTTCAAAATAACTTGGATTGGACTTTGGGTTAAATATTGAGGGAATTGTATTACGTATTACATTTCAGCAGACTTTGCCTCTCCCATAAAACACGTTTTGCCCCGCCGACCTCCCCCCCCCAAAAAAAAAAAAATAAATAAATAAATAAATAAAATAAAAAATAAATAAATAAATAAAAAAAAAAAAAAAAAAAAAAAAAAATTAACAAATGTTTAAAAATGTTTTTAAAAAAGTAGGAGAAAGACCACCATTGACCTTAGTTGACAATCTGATAGCGTACTACGAAGAAATATTACTTTAGTGACGAAAACATCGAATAAGTTCAACGTTTTGTGGTCTATTGGATACGTCAACGGACTCTGGATCACATGGTCCGCGGTTCTTTGGCAAGACATTAATTACATTTGCCAATCTCCACTCTGGTGACGTAAATGGGAACCCGGTGCGAAGTGATTCCTCTATGCAATAGCGCCTTTAGGTTCGTTCGGCTAATGCCGGCATCATTATAGTACAGCGGTTAGAAAAATGAGTACGAAGGGTTATATAAATGGTGCTATTATTATCATCATTATTAACTTTCTAACATCAATTTTCTTTTGCATTTTCTTTCCTAGATACTTCTGGGCTGATGGAACCGAATTCTTTTTCACACGCAATTTCGTCTTCAACCGCTTCAAGCCCGACCAACCGCAGCAGAACGCTCACCGTCAAGCGGTACACAGCTTCAACAACCGACCGGATAACTCTTGGGTAACGACCAGCGTCGAAACGGAGGTATCCTTCATCTGCCAATACCAATACAAATATTAAAGAACACGTTGTTTAACCCACTGTCTACTGGAACCGAGTAATCCCTGTATGAAACCTATGGGGACGAGAGTATTCGGTTTTCAACGGGTTAACTATTTCTGTTTCAACCGCTTCTTTTGGACTTGACGTTATGAACTTTTACCTGATTTCCCCCCTTCAACATCTCGAGATGGACACGCGAATTCATCGCAATTTTTTTATTCGGTGATGAATCCGAAGGCATTTCAGTGGATTTTTTTTACAACTGGAACTTACCACCAGGCCACTGCGATAGTCGAATATTGGAAATTCCACAGGATTTTAAGACAGATTCTGCTTTCACACGTTAACATTTTGTGTTATCCAAGGACTTTGTGCTCGCTTGATATGTATATACGGACAATATGAATATCAACGTGTGTTTCGCCCGATTTTGGCCGATTGTTTCCGAACCACGCCGAACTGCACCGAACTATTTTGATCTATCCTTTTTTAAGCATTGTTAAACTGTTTTAATACGTTTTCGGTAGATTTTTATTAAAGATAAATGTATTTGTAATGGATTTGTATTAGATAAGTTTCAAGAATTTTAACAAGTTTTCTAAAATTCCACGTAAAAGACATTTGTTTTGTTATTTGAAAAGCACAATAATTAAAACCAAAATCTTGTTGTTTTGGAATTTTCGTTTCCTTCAAATTTAGATTCATAAACTTAATAACTAAAATAATGAAAATTAAGAAATATTTGAATGAAAATGTGCAATGTGTGACGTTGGGCAATAAATAGTTTTTCAATGTAAATAAGAAATATTGTATTATTGGAAAATTTGTAAATGTTTAGATGGGTATTGCTGGTGCAACATGAAATAAAAATCAGGCTGTTAACGCAACAAATGAGTGTACGTTTGTTACTTTTTAACCGGTCATTCTCCTAAATATTAATTCTTGTTAAAAAATAATTCCTGTTTCGTATAAAACCACTGACGGTATAACTCCGGTCACTGGATTACAGCGCACATTCACCACTCCATGTGGAACACTCCAGCCACTCACCTGTTTACGGGCGCTCACAGGCTATAGAAAAATAATGAATTGCTTATGAGGGTGTAGGAGATCCCAGGTTCTCGAGGGTTCTCGAAGCCGAAAGTCCTCGAGCTTTCAGTCTCTTTGGTTTTCCTTAGGACGTAGGACAATCTACAAGCTTGAAGGATAAAATAACAGTAGACAAAATTGCTATAACTATTTAGTTTTTTACTGTCTGGCATTTGAAATCTTGACATTACAAAGCGAGTAAGAGAGAGAGTTGGCAAGGAGAAAGAGAGAGAGATTGAAGGGAGTTAAAGAGGTGAGTAAGAGTGAGAGAGAGAAAGCGAGCGAGAGAGAGAGAGAGAGAGAGAGGGAGAATATTCAAAGAGAATAGTACAAGAGGGAGAGAGAGGAACAGAGGTATAGAGTGCACAAGGGAGAGAGAGGGATAGAGAGAGAGAGAGAGAGAGAGAGAGAGTGCGTATATGTGCTTGAGTGTGTTTGAGAGAGAGAGAGAGAGAGAGAGAGAGAGAGAGAGAGAGAGAAAGAGAGAGGGGTGGCGAGAAACAAAGATACAGAGAGACTAAGAGCATCACAGTGGATCTTGTTACCCGTTTTTTCCTTTGCCCATTGAAGATAACAACACATTAAATACGATAACCCAAACACCCACACGTACACCCAGATACACATGTAACTACATACGCACATCTGCTTGAAGCGTTTAAGCTTCAAACTTGGTCAAGTAAAGTGACACTCACACTTAGTCAATGGATTGCCAACGTATACTCTAAGCTTCATCATTATGCTAAAAACGCAAGCAACGCTCCAGCTTAAAGAACAGGGAACAAACAAACAAAACAATCAAACAAACGAACAAACAAACAACAACATTTACGGCAAAAACAAACATTTTAAGGATCGAAACAGGGTCATATAAGAATCAAAGGTAAATTACGTGGAGGGTGGATAACACACACACAAATTAAAAAATATATTGACCTTAGTTTATAATTATCATTTAAATGTAGCCTACATTCATTACCATTTTTTTCTTCTTCTATTTAAATCTAATCCCTTCAAGCGATAGACTCGGGGCACCTCCGTGATAAGATGATCCAATCCTGATAATTGATCTATTCCCGACATCACAATTTACTGCTTCCGTTTGACGAATCTGCTCGCGGAACCAAGCCGATGAAAACAGAGCGTGACACATCGAACAACTGGCAAAGAAAATCACTGAGTTAGTAGGGAAGCTCGTCTAAGGTCGAGTACAGACCGTCCCATAAAAAAAAGGAATCCGCCCTTCAGCTGCACCAACTTCATTAACAATATAATAATCGTCCACTGAATATGAATTCGTCGTCTGTAAGCACAGACCCTATATTTCACACTCTATTACAATCATTTATGTGTCTTGAGTGTAGTCTAGCTCAGTTCCTAAAAAAATAAAGACTACAACTGGTACAACAACAACAACGGATGTGTCTTTCAGGTCCTATGTACTTAGGTCTCTGTTTAGTCTTCTAGCTTAGACCCTAGCTAATTAATTGCGACAAGGGTTTGTTGCCAGCAAACTAACAAAAGCATGTTTTGGATACTGAATGACAGATAGGTCATGCAATATCCTTCCGGTATAACTTTTCCCCGTGTTTATACATGCATTTTTTATTCTGATAAAAACACTCCATGCCATAGTAACTTTTAAAAAAGGGTTTACAACACGCTTATAGAGAATTTTTGCTAACAGAATCAAACATTACGATGTTAACATCTACCAAAGATTGTCGTCTCAGACAGTAAACCAAAATATTACGTTGTATCTCATTTAATTCTCCTGTCCGCTTTTTAAACCCTATTTATCAAACAAAATCTTCATAAAGAACTACTACATTTGGATATCGAGAATTCATCTGCGTTATCAGCTTTGCTGGGACACCCTGTAAATGAGTTAATTAATGTGTCGTATTCTACTGTGGTTTAAGGAGCATCATTAGATTAAGGCAAACCTCGAGGAAGAAGGGGGAGCGCGTTTTAGCTATCGCCTCACAAGGAGGTTTACTTTTCGCTGCAACGTTCTGCACACGGCAATAAGGAGGGGTCCGATGTTCGTTGACGTTCTTGGTTGGAAATCGGGGGATGACCAGCGAAAAAGCTGTTTGGAGTTGGCAAAGGAAAGCTCATTGACTTGTCGACAGCTACATTGACTAGGAAGAGAGCCTGACATCAGTCCAGGTTTCTTTATTGCCTTCATAATAACCCTCTTCAAATAGAACTTGAACATAATTAGTTGTTCAGAGCAATTTATCATTAGTTATACTCAAGTAACATTGCAACGCATATACAACAAAGAAGAGACTGGTGCCCGACCACCAACTCACGGTCGAAACCGAACGATATCTTATTACAGAGAAGAGAGTCACACTCTCATTTTTTTTCAGCGTTCAACAGAGACTTGGAAGGAGGAAAGGAGGATTCAGTTTCCCACTTGTTGAGGGTGATTTTGGACCCATTTTAGAACTAAAACCCAGAGCAAAGATGAAGCATCTGTTGGGTGTGGCTTGCCTGGTGGCTGTTTTAGCGGAGGCCTATGGACAGGGCTTCGGACAGGGAACCTACCCTATGGAAGGATGCATACCCGGCTGGACTAACTTCGGAAAATACTGCTATAAGTAAGTATTTCTGTCCTTCTTTTTAACCCTTTCAGGGAAATTTATTTCACATATCTACAACGTTCACAATAACATATATACATATACAATTAAAACATTATCGTAGCATATCAATCAAAGCTTTTAGCTGTTTTGTTTAAACATTTGCTTTCGTTTTAGAATTTAAATGTGACATCAATTCATACTTCAAATTAGTTGAAAAGTTGTACCATTCATTTTGCTTTTTGTTTTCAAATGTTTAACGTAGTTCTTATAAATAACATATTCAGCAAAATTAATCAAAATGTTTAACAAGTAATTATCTAACTTGCCTTTATCATATCTCATTTCTCAAGTCTTCTCATTATGTTAATATATAATATTAAAAAGGTAAGTATGAACAATAAAACGCGCCAAACAGTATTTTAGTTTCAAGTGCATATCTACACTGTCTCACTAAAGTTATAATATTTGTTTTCTTACCTCTTTTTAATAAAATGATAGTGACAATATAGTTTATTCATGATGTTTTGTTGTTGAAATGTTAGGCTACCTGGAGTAATTTCGATTTATGTAAAAAAAAAAAAAAAAAAATTGGCTTGCACCGAGTATATAAAGATCACGTATGAGCACGGGCTTCCTTATAGGTAAACAAAATTATCAGTTGTATAATTATTGTGATTATTACAAAGAGTTCCTTATTAAATGTGTACATTTTAATTCAATACGATTAAAAAAAAAGAACTTTTGTAAAAAAAAAAAAAAAAAAAAAAAAAAAAAGTTTTTTAAGTCTAAGTGTAACTTCAGGTTAATCATTTTAGGTACTGCATTTTAAAACTTACAAAAAAGGGAAAAGAAAGAAAAAGAAGGAAGATTTTAAGTAATGAAAGGAAACTGAGACACAGTGATAACTGACTACAAAGGCCACCCAATGAAAGCAGGAAAGTTTTCTACTGTCGACAGGGGGCCTTTCTAGACAGGTTCTGCAACACACGTTTCATCATTGAGGGGATATTAAAGATGACCACTAAGACAGGTTTGATTCTATGTTTATGTTACTGTATCCATTTAGTGTCTCCAGGAGAACAATCATAATATACAGGAATAAAAAAGAAAGACAACTAGAGCTGCAATTAGTAATCAAAGTCAATCGACTCAGGCATATTTAATTTTCGAAAATCCTGACAGATACCATGTAGACCCTTCTGTTTATGATGCTTTCCCATTCGTAAGCTGGAGGTGATTTTAAATAGAATTACAGAATGAAGATTTTATCAACAATTGCAAAGGGGAGCCAGCAGTATCCCCACGATCCTCTAGCAAATTTCGAGCTTTATAAGTAGAAATCCTAAAATTATTCGAGTTTTACTTGCAACCCTGCTGAAGTTCTAAGGTGATTTATTTTCGTTAAAGATTTTCACTGCCATGACTGCTAAAATTTACAGCGTTAGGATTTCATCATAAAATTAGCGCAAGAAAAGTTTTTATCTAACGCAAGAAAGTCGCGTGCTTATATTCCATCGATGTGCAAACATGCTAAAAGAATTATTTGTGTCCAAAATGATCATTTCTGTAGGCATTTGGACTGGGGATCATGAGTTGCAAATGTCAAAATATGATATTATTTATATCTAAAAATGGCAAGGATTTCATATCGTACTATTACATTGTGAAGAAGAAAAAACAATCGAGAGGCTATGCGGAACGTTTAAACTATAATAACTAGCTTTGTGAGGCTTTGTATCATCAAATTGATAAAAAATTGATTCAGTACGGCTGGAAATTAAGTTCTTTAAATAGAGAGCAGCGCAAATAGATATATGTAGATGGGACCAGGCAAACGGGGTATCAAAATTTGGTCCACCATTTTAGCTTTTTTCTCAATGGCATTTGGAATATATATGGTTTAGAGAGCGAATGCTTTGCGTTACTTTTCGTCTACTTGGAAATAAGAGAAGGATTGAAAAGGAGTCTTTTCACCTTGACGATAATTCAACCTTGTATGGAAGGCTGCATCGTCAATAATAAAAGGAAATTAGATAATTGTTCCCAAGAACTTCTGGGGGCCCCATTATGTCATGCGTTTGATAATACTTAATTCTCTGCTAGGTGCTCATGTACAAACCGCTTCAGCGTCATCATCAGAATTAGATGCCAACTTTTATTTATAACCTACAATTCTTTAGAGATAAAATAAGAAAGGATCAGAATGTTAAGGTCCTGTGATCTATTCTGCTGGAGGAAAACATGCCAGGACGTAGATGTATCTGTCGCTTCCCGAGCTTAACGCAGCCTCTAAAAGTAGTACGTGCTGCGATTAGGGCTCGTGCTATTGAAGACATAATGTGACGGCTTTTCTTTGCGCGTGAGGATGCATTATCACCATCAGACACAATGTCCAAGTTCCAAAACTTCTGGGGAAATGTTGAACATGTGTCTAAATCTTAAAATCCATACATGCAGAAATGTGATTCGTAACTTTTTTTCTGGACGACGCAGCATGCTCCCGCAAAGATTATGTTTTATTCTGGAAGTCGAATTTCTCTCCTTTTTCATAATTACTGAAAGAATATTGCTCGTAATAAAGAAATGTAAAGTGAAATCGTTCAAGAAAACAATTGTTTTTCTATTTCGTTGAAAGTTTCTGGTGGTATTTGATATCAAGACAAATGCAATCTAAAGACAAATAGTGATATAGCACCTTCTCCTTGTCGTTACAAAACGCTGCACATAATGTTTCCAAAACTATCTGGGTTTTTCGCATTTAGACAGAAAGTATACCGTATGTTTTAAACTGATTTGACTAATGTTGTTCGTTATATGTAGAAAATATATATTTGCTTTTGGAAGACTTTATAAATATTAATCCAAATATCAAATTGTACAAAATACCCGAGATTGGACTAGACAAAATACCAATACACGAATCTCTTTAAAAAACGAATTCGTAAGAATAATAAAAGATTGTAACTAATACAGTATATGTTTCAATTATATTCCTATCTCCCTATTGAAATTCAACCACAAATTACAAAGAATAGTTATTTGAGACACCTCACTTATTATACATCAATGTATCATCCGTCATGCTTTGAAACATTATATCATCAATAAGAATACCGAGCTTTTCTATGTAGAGATGCGACAGTACACTTATCTAGTTCTGGGTAGCTTCTACCTATGAGGCTTTCCGGATTCGGAAGGAAATCCCCCCCCCCAAAAAAAACCCCACAACAATAACAACTACTACAACAACAACAACAACACAACAACAACAAACAAAACAAAACAAAACAAAACAACACAAAACAAAACAAACAAAATTATAATAATAATAATAATACAAAATAATAAACAAACTAAATAAGTAATTAAAGGAATATCAATTTGGTTTTATAAAGGGAGCATGGGACGGCAGTTCCCCCGATGAACTCCTATCATGTTCCATATCCATTACAGATCGATGGATAGCTATTTTTTAGATTATAATAATCATTTCTTTATTACACGTTGATGAAAAAATTGCCACCTTTCATGGTGTTGCTTAACGACTGAATCACGGCCAATCAAAAGCAAATTTCTTAGACTTTTCCAACTAAGTTCTGTTTTCTTTGAACGAGCACTGGCATTGCAATCAAAATAAGAAGTAAAACATAAATATTTGGATAAGAAATGTAAAATGTACAGATGACTATTCAAACTTTAAACCATCAGGAGCAGGGACAGCGGGAGAGGGGTGCACATGACCCCCTTTTGTGACCACACCCTTTTGCTGCGCTTCTGTGTACTGTCGAGAATAGGCGTACACTTATCCTTGTGATTAATGTGATTAAAGGCTCTGTCGTTATTAAAGGGCAATCTATATTCGTTAACCTTACCAATGTTCAGAGATTATCGGCTCAACTGAAATGACGCTAACTGTTCATGATAATCATGTTATACATTAACAACCAAACCAGAAATGAACTTTTAAACAATGAGGAATTACTGTTTTTTGTACATATCCAGGCTCCGTATCGGCGTAAACAGGCAGTGATAAACGGAGCATGTATATCTAATAAGTTACTATTCTGAAGCGCAGAGGGATAATTGAAGTATATTATTTAAATTCAAGTGAACAAAAAAGATCGAAGGAGAGATGGAAAGAGAGAGAGAGAAAGAGAGAGAGAGAGAGAGAGAGAGAGAGGGGGGGGGGGGGAGAGGGGGAGGGGGGGGGGGGGGAGGGGGGAAGGGGGAGGGGAGAAACTGCATAAAATATATTATTATTATAAGGACATTTTGCTCCGTAAACTCTTTCACTCCGTTTTGTGAAACATCATTAATGCACGACATCTTAGAAAATTCTATTTGTGATGCATACATAATTACGGTTGATATAGTTACGTAATTTTATAACCTTGTTTGTAACTGTTTGGCATATGTTTAGATAAAGATCATTGAGATAGTGGATACATTCGTAGCAAATTGAGCTCATCCATGACGTAATGTGCCCATGATAAAATAGATTGTGGCTGGCACTTTTTAAATAACAAATTATAGAGCGGAAACTATTAATTTACCAATTTTTGTGCGGTAGCATTGGAGGCCGAAAGTTTCAAGCTAGTTTGTACATATTTCATACACCATCAAGGATTTATATCTCTTATATCATAACATACCGCAATACTACATGCTGTCCAGTTTGAGCCAACCTTAATTGCTGTAAACTGTTTGAACATTGATTTCATGGCTTATTAAGCTATTGAGATGACAGATCAAGGAAATTATTTCGCGGTTTCCTGGGTTGCATAAGCATGAGTGAGTGACGAGATATTCGACTTTAAAAACAAAATGGGAGATCGAAGATTTTTATCTTCATTCAGAAACTATAAAATAACTTACAGTTATCCCTAAAACACCCTTGAAGTGTCAGATACTTTAGGCATTTCTGACTAGGGATCTCCCTAAAGATTAAAAATAAGGTAAACCTTACTATTGTTAATTAAAATAGGAAAATATCCCTGAAAGCAATCCACGAACCA